CTTCAGGATATTGATGATCATGAGATGATTTATATCTTAGACCAAAGGTAAATGAACCTAGAAATTAAATGACGTACTTGACGTTTGCTTTTCTTCACCAGACAAGAAGGAGCTACACCTGCCTAAAGGCTGATTTATACACAGAAATCAGGTCGTCTGCGTGTGTTGCAGTTAACGCAGATATGCCCCGCCTCTTCCACAGACAATCTGCTGCACCTCTCCCATATTATAGGTTATCGCAGACAGTGCCGCAGACTGGAGGCCTCTCATTGGTCAAATCTACATCCACTCTACACTATGCATATTTCCTTGGCTGGTTTGGTTCCTTACCAGCTTGTTTTGTTTGTGTGTCCACCATTGTGGAAAACCACTCGTGAAGATGGACCACTTAGAAGAGCGAGGTGCGCGAGAATGCTGGGACTTTTTCTCCGCACTTTTTGAGGGCCAAAAAGAGCGGAGATCCAGGTATCTAGACCCACAGCTAGTTCCTGATTGTCCCTCTGGTGTTGTGGCGTGGAATAACAGTGCAGACCACGCTTCAATATTGGGCATAAATTCAAAAATATCTGCGACAAGCTCAATAGGACGCACTGCTGCGGAAGGATAACCTGCCGTTAAGGGTCACAGAGTAGACGGACCGATACAGAGAAGCCTTTCGCTCTTGACACAGCTCTTTTTTCTCCTCAGCAGACTGAAATAATCCGTCTTTTCTATCCTCCTGTAAACCAGGCTACGATAACTGCTCCACTGGAGGCAGAGATTGACCCTGACCTGAAGACAGGAGTCCAACTTCTTCAGGGTGATAACCTTTCTCAGACTTACAACATGATTCCACATCCTCTGGTTTTTCCGTCACCATACACCGACAGAGCAACTGCGTAGTTTAGGTCAATTAATGAGAACGTTCTGCATGACTCCTCTGAACGTCACTGTCCTTAAACATGATCTCTGTCCTGGAGCAATTTCTGATCTAGACCACTTGGCTCTGCTCGCACCTTCTGCTTCTGCCGTCTTTGGACTTTAAAGATCTTGGAACAGAGTTAAACGCTGTTACCACACTAGTTTTTGTATGGAAGCGCAAGGTGGTCTGCGACTGACCTGACAGGGACAGGAAGGGAGGATGTGGGATCTAGGGGGTAGAGGAGCAGATCCTCATCAGCCGCCAATGGCTGCACTGTAAGATGAAGGTCAAGGCTTGAAGGCACCAACAGACCCAGAACACCTTCGTAAAGGTGAGACCTTCAGGTTTGCAAAGCACACACTCACAGATTCTGTCCCTTAACGCCACAGACAGAACCCAAGACAGAAGACATACATAGAAGGGTCACTAGAAAGCAACCAAGGTACCCCAAGGTAGGAGTTCAAGGTACCAATGAACTGCTGTAAAAAGCCCAGCATGAACTACGGCCAGCACCAATGCTACATGTCTTAGAATCAGAACCTTAGATGTAGAGATGGACCAGCTCCACCTCTGAGGTAGAACTGCTCTGAATGGTGTCTACTGCTACCCAGCTCATCCATCTGTTGATTGTTTATTTATGTAGTAATGTCTTTATCTTACTCTGTATCCTGGACAGAGCGTGCTCCAGACCCCGCATGGCTTTAGCTTGGTTACTTTTAAACCGGGCCAGCCCAAACTCCTGATGGACAGACAGAGAGAGTTAGACAAACAACATGGATACACCAACGATAGATGACCATCCTGACATCCAGGAGAGGAGGTTCACGTTTCCCTTTATTCTTGGTGTGACAGGAAGCAGGAAAACAAGTGGCTAAAGCTATGATCTAATGATGCGTTAATTGGGTGTCAAAGTATCTGACTTACACATAAAGGATATGGTGGACAGCATAGGGCAGTGTCTAGAGCAGGGGTCACCAACCTTTTTAAGGCTGAGGGCCACTTCAAGGGTACCGAGACTTAGGAAGGGCGACCATTACTGACTCATGAGCTGCAAGGGTTAGCGTTAGCCTAAACTTTGTTCATTATCAACATATTTTTATTGTTTCTAATAATTTCTACGTTTATTTAGACATTGTCATTTTGAAGTCTCTATAGATGATTAAAAAGAAGAGCAACAGAATAAAATAAAATTTCAAACTTAGCCCACTGGTGGGTTGTTCTTTATTTAGAAGACTCTGAGGGCCCCCCATGTGGTCCTTGAGGGCACCTTGGTGCCCACGGGCACCGCGTTGGTGACCCCTGGTCTAGAGGTCCTGCTTTAGATTCAAACATCTGGGCATCCAAGCAGTGGAGCTTCCCATCGTTCGATGCTCAAGTCCACAAATCTGACCTTTTGCAACTTTACGCAGAGCGTCAACCAATCAGAAAAGCTAATCCAGAAGTTTTCTGGTAGATGGACAATAGATGCAAGGTGTTATTGCTTCTGCAGAGCAATAAATAAATAAATATAAAGGCATTAAACTCAGGTTATAAAACGGCAGAATAATTGATTGTTATTACGTTCAAACGAAAGAGAGTGAGCTCTGATCATTATTGCTCATTTTTTACTGAGCTGTGGAGAAAAATAGTTTAACAACCTTGAAACCTACCAAAAATATCAGATTTTATGTTCTATTACTTGTGCTTTTTACCACAGTCCTTAAAAATACTTTATATTCACTTTGAGCCACCTGAGGGAAGTTGCCCCCCCCCCCCCCCCCTTCCCAAAATTACTGCAACTGCAGGTTTCCAGACGGATATGCGGCGTCAGGTTACCCCCCCCCCCCCCCCTTCTTCAAATCAGACAAAATTAGTGTCAAAAGTTTGCGCAGCGAAATTTTTCGTTTGTGCTGCTATAATCTTAAAGATATAAAGAATATTTCTAGAGGTCATCAAAGGTCAACCAGCCCCCCACCTTCTTCAAATCAGATGAAATGGGTGTCAGTTAACTCAGCTCCGTTTGTGCTGGTTTGTGCAGCAAAAAAGTTCGTTTGTGCCTCATCAAGGGTCAACCCC